CAGTAACAGGAAAGGTACCAGAAAACCCACTAGCCAAGCCTCCACTGATAACAAGTTCCATACATAGGCCCAGCTGAGACAAGGGATATTTCCTGACTTAATGGAGCTTCCACCTTCATAGAAGATAGATTTTAAAGACTTTTTCTAAAAATTAGTACAAAGCTGGTACACTCAGGTTTTAGTACACAGTATTACTGCCAAAAATATTTTCCAGAGAATTTTGCAAAAAGTTAACAGAAATCACACTTCCTCGAAGATTGACTTTGCAAATTTGTCCTGGTCAAGGACTCAAATGACGTCTAATAGATTTGTAATTCAGAGTAACTCCTCCCTCCCTCACCACCCCCAAGAAAATTCTCTCCTTACCAACACACTCTGAATTGATTTTGGCATGCCGTCAGTGGATTTTGCAGTGACTCTGTTCCCTGGCTTACAAAATGCAGAGATGATTTAGACCATCCACTTTTAAGCCTTGTTAATGTTGATGCCAGAGTAACATGATTTGCTTGAACAGAATTAAGTTAATGAGCATTCACTGCTAAAATTCACTACTGTAAAATGTTACCAAGGTTTCAAGTTAAATTGATAAAATGTTTTAAGTGTGTTGAAGGCCTTGATTAGACTGAGAGTAAGAATATTCTGGTTTTTGTTTTAATTCACAGTTCACCATTACAAAGTTAAAGCAAATAAAACTCTCTGTTCTAACTTCTGCTGCAAAGGAGTGAGAATTAAAGCCTCAACAACTAGCAGTTGCTTTTTAATTATTGAAAAAAAATGCAACCCCAAACAACTTTTAAAGTTGTTTCTGCTAATGTCACAATAGTGAAACTACAAATATCTTTTGTCTTTGATTATGAGTCTACTTGTGGGCTCTCAAACTTTGCTTACATGTACACATCAATTTTTAATGCAGAACAGTTTCATTGAGTGAAGCTGCAAGCACTGCTCATGCACACCACTGAACACATGCTCCAGTATTTTGGTTGCATGATGAAGCATACAGAGTTTCAAGTTTTCAGCTGCAAACATCCACAGTGAAGAAAAGCTCTTCAATGCCACAGTAATAAAAAGTATCAACTCATTCTTGGCCATTTATCAGAAACAGCCAAGTCCTTCACCTTGCTGCAACCAGCTGTATCAGAACACAAAGCATAAAGAATTTATGCTGCATGTTTTTGTGGCCTCTAACAAATACTCTGGATTTTTACATATACAGGTAAGATTTCAAAGATTAGAAATTATAACATGTTCTGCTCTTTGTGGCCCAGGCATCTCAGAAATGCAGCTTGATACAATGCTGTACTTTAATATTCTAAATGTTAAAATCTGAGACAAATTAAGGGCCAAATTCTGTAATTTGATTTATTGCACAGGACTAATTTGAATATAGAAGAACATGCTTATATCAAAGGGCAGCAATCATTATATAAATATCCTAACCAATTTGAAGGTGATGTCTAAGGACTGTATTTTCTAGTGGCCAGTCAAATTTATGCTAGCAACTCAGGCCTGACTTGGATAGCCCATTAATACTTACTATAATCTTCTTCCATTTCTTTTTAAAGACCTATGGTTAAGAGACATGTCTTCCTTTTTAACTTCAAAATCATGGGCCTAATGTAGTTTACTGATTCAGTTAATGCTAAACTTTAACTCTGGTTTTCAAGAGACATTCCAAAAAGTAAAAATATCTGTTATCTTGTTACTTCCTGATCCGGATGGCAGCTCTTCTACCCATTGGAATAGGAAATGCAAAGACAGAAACATTAGCAAAGAGAATAGGAACATTAACATCTCAGCTATTGAACAGAACTTTATTGAGTGCTTGCAAAGGTATACTTAATGGAACAGACTGTTTCACTTTTACAGGTGCAATGTTTATGCCTTTAGGAAAGCATCCCTTAAAATTTTTGACCATTACTGAGTTAGATCAGAATCAGAGGTAGTGCATATATGCCACTAAGTGTGCAGCTTCCTGTAGAATTTGTGAATGAATGACGAATTTCAATCATGGTATAAATATTGGCGTGTACAGTTGTGTTGTGTCCTCCATGGGGGATATCTGATATTAAAAAGGTCAAGCAAATTAAATATATTTGTCAAGTGCCCATCAAAGAAAAAAAAAAAACAAAGCATATTGAAAAGTTGAAATAAGGTTGCAATGAAAATTGAGATAATAAGATACAAAATAATAATACATCAATCCCACCTAAAATACTCCAGGTCTACCAGTGTAATTGTAAGCACAAACAAGGTAAGATTATTTCCAACCTCTTCAGAGAAAATCAATGCAAGCTAAAATGAGACTATTGTTTCAATTTACACGAAAACCATGGCTTTGTTCCTGGGACTTTGGCTGTATCACTTCAAATATAAACATTTTTGGTGGACACTAGCAAAATATATATACCTGCAGTTGAAAGAGAATTATTAGCATACGAGAGTCAGTAGGAATGCAGCATTTTAACAGGAAAAATATATGAAACTCTACTGTAATAAACAGAAACTGTCCATGTAAACGATTTCCTATTGTTGGTCCAAAACCAGAGCAACATTTGCATGTCTGTGACCTGAGAAATACAAAGAATGTATTTTATCTATTGAGTGCATGTGTACTTACCCATGCACAGGTTACCTAAGTAGCCCACCTGCTAGACTGTCAGGAGCGTGTTTACTGAGCCTACTTTCCAGCTGTGGAGTCAAGCACAGCAAACGGGCTCAGCACGTACTACCGAACGATCTTGTGCTTGCCCACCTGTGCATGTGCTCCCACAAGGACGATATACCTTTCTGGCACCACTGAAAAAATGACTGGTATATGTCACTCCATACCATTATTATTTTGAATACCAACCAGATGGAAGCAGAACCCAAACTTCATTCTGTAGTTCTGCATCCGCATGGATGACAGTGAATCAGGTCTGTTGTACATTGCCGTAGAGACGTCAGGTAGAAGTTTTACTGTATCGTGATGATCAATCTAAACCACTAACGCCAGTAGGAGCCTAAAAACGCTTAAGAACTGCTCAGTTTCGATAGCCTCAGATTGTGTGACTTACACTTTAAAGTGAGCATCTTGAGAATGACGGCCGGGCCTCCCGCTCGGGGCGGCTGGGACGGGGCGGCGGGT